CGAAACGTCGAAATTCTCCATATATATTTTTCAATTAGTTGCATTCCTACAAACGAAAGCTTATTTAAAATGAGGAGGCGTTAATTAGATAAAAAGCGTATATGCTTACGTACGGCAATTTTTTGCTGTCTAAACAACGCCTTCCTGTAGTTTGTTCTGCAACCAGTTTGCAAATGGCGTAAAAAAGTCAAACGTTGAATGCACAGTTCAGCCTTTAGAATGATGGTTTTTAAGGGACGTTTCAACCCTGTTAATTGAAAAAACTAACATAAGAAAATCAATTAAAGCATAATTCAAGATCAGCAAACATAATGTTTTTAACATTTAAAACTTTTTTTATTGTTAAAAACATTGAGTTTACTGATCTTGAATTATGCTTAATTGATTTTCCTGGTTAGTTTTTTTTTCAATTAAAAGGGCTGTAATGCGCCTTAAAAACTATCACTCAAAAGGCTGAACTGTGCCTTTAAGGCGCATGCTCCGTCACATATAATTTGATACAACAAATATGCAATCTAATAAACATTTCATGTAATCTAATAAACACCTCTCTAGAGACAGGGGTGTTTATTAGATATGCCCATGCGTTTAATCTCGCTCGATACAGATGTTTTAAAATGGAATTTGCGATTTAAATCTGTATTTTTGAAGAAGTACCTCACTAATTTAAAACTACTAAAAGCATCGTTCAGTAAGATACTGTCCAAAAATACGGATCTAAATCGTGAATTGAGGGAACTGTATTGAGCCACCTTAATAAAAAGGGGGCTTATTATGCCTTATCGAATTCGATTGGCCTATTTGAGCCCGCGTGGCGTTGAGGCGATGCGTTTATAAGAGAGTAGGCGTTTATTTGACCATTTACGGTATCACGTGACATGTTTGTCAAAATAATTTAGCTTGATGTAAGTATAAGCACAGTTTCAATTTATACCAGGTGATCTTGATACGCAGAAAAGTACTGGCACTAGTTGTCAAATAAAAATCCATTTTATGATTAATTAAAAGAACTGAATATCTCCTGTAATATACTTTATTGCAATCCCATATTTTTGTCAGAGCTATAGTTCTCATAACCAAACATAATTACAAAATTTCAACTAGTTTCATAAAGAATAACGAAAGATATAATTGATTGAAGACATCAAAATGGATTTCTGTTCGGCAACCCTTTCTGAGCGCTGATTGGCTAAAATACGAACACGAGATCAACTGGTATATAGTACCTCGACTTCTGATGGAGAAAAATAGTAGCTCCCTGCAAGGAGGGAGCTTGTATTGGGTTCGTCGTAAGTGTATCCATGTGGAGCTTGGTAGGAGTTACCAAATTTTGTGGAGGAGTCGTTATTGGATCCCGCATTGCTGGCAATGTGCAAGTCATGACCACTACCAAATGTTGGTCCATAAGTTCTATGACGGTAAATTGCCTTCCCGTCATTCTCATTTATCAGCGGAGCCTTGAAAGGCGCAAGGTCGTCATTATTGCGAACAGAAAACAGAAATGATCCTGGAGCAGATGTAAAACTCGCTGTCAAAAATAAACACAATAATCTCTGGTTAGATATGATTACCTCACTCGACAGAACTGAATAATGAAATAGATTTAGATTTATTAAAAAAATCAACGTTTTGCAATCAAGGATTGAATTACACGGTTTTACATTACAGGATTTTTATAAATTACATTATTCAAAATTAAGCTATACATGGGTATAAAAATCATTAAAAACAGGGACGTAGGGAGCTTGTAAAAATGAGGGGACCCGAAATTTTGAAAATTTTGAGTCTCCAGATGGTCGGAAATGGCATTTTCAGGGACAATATATACGGTTCAAATTCTCCAGTTTGGAGAATTTCGCAGTAATTTTTAATTATTTTTTTAAATCCAATAATTTTTCTGGGGGGTGGGGGGGGGAGCTATCCCGGCGTCCACCCCCTTTATAAAATATTGGGGAGAGGGGCCGGTCGCTTGCTTCCTCGCCCCTAATTAAAAATGCTTAATCTATAACTAAGAATACGTTCTCGATTGCATATATAATCGACAGAACTGAAAATGAAATATTTCAGAATAAAGATTTTGAGTAAACGGCTTTGATTATTTTACAATGTGATTATACGGGAGTAAGGCAGAGCCAAGACCAACAAATGGTTCGGGATTCTGTCATCAAATTTCGACAGCAATTTGGGCCCGCTAAATCTCTCCTCCACAGAGGTTTCGATACGGTAAACGCCATGTAAACCTCATTGAAACCGCGGAGGAGAGAGGCCCGCTAAACTAAATACCTGACTATGTGAGTTGCATTCCATCTATTGCTCATTATCATGTCAAATTATTGCATGTTTTCATGACTTCTCTTTATTTACAAAAAATCGCTTGCTATTCTTGAAACTGGAAATTCCTATATTCTCAGTATTTCTAAGTTTACATATGTATGTGAGTCGTAGACATACGCTTATGAGAGGGGTGGGTGGGAGTGGGGTGGGCCCAATCATTTGTAAGTTAGAAGAATCAACTTAATATTAAAATCGTCCACATAGAAATAAATTGTCGTAAGGTTGTTCATCAGTAATTATTCTGGAAATGACAATTTGCTGAAACTTCCCAGGGTGAAGTTTATCTTATGTTCATAGAGGTCACCGACCTGGTTTCGAATATATGAGAAGTGCATTATGCCACCATTTCCCCAATATGGCACCATTTTTTACGAGTTACAGGACCAATCGCAATTGCTCATCTGTTATTGAATTTTTTAATAGGGATCCTACTAAAAATGTCTGTCTAGTGATTATATACAAGAAAACATGATATTATAGCGAATCAAAAACCATTGACGTACATTGTCATGATGCAAAGGCGCTAAGAAAAAGGTGCGCCTTTGTACGGAAAAATGTAAAATATTATAATTTGTAGAAATGATTTTTCTCTTATTTTCTGATATGACATGTAAAACATATAGAAGAACAAAAATATATTAAAAAAGTGGAGTCATGGATGTTCTTAAAGAGATACAAGGGTTAAACATGCAACATGATGTGGTTTAGTGTTAGTTGCATATAGGGAGCCCTATCCAGAGTTCTGTCATTTTTGAAGTTATATTTCCTGAAGCATGCCTAACGAACCGCGAAAGAAAAATGGAAAGGACTTTGGGAAAGTCTATTATATAATAACTACAGTGAAACACGCAATTTGATTGGCCAATAGCCGTGCAGGTTCAGACAATCCTGCACGGGAAATTCTAAACAGAAATTCTTGCACATATAATTTTACAAATATACTCGCATTGTAAAGTTTCATTGTACAATACCTTTCGACTTTGAAGTCAGTTTGCAATTATTGAGACGTTGGTTTAGTTGTATGAATAAATTTCTCATCGATACATTGCTGTTCAGCAAGTAGCAACGCGTAGCGTTGAAATTCATCAGACCATACCATAGCAAGTACAAGTGTACAACAAACATCTTTTAACTAAGGTTTTAGATTTTTAGTCACAATATTAAGATTGTGTCGGAAAGAGAAATATAGATATTAATCTTTCCTTGCTTCCACTAACGGTCAGTATAATCTGCAGACTGGAGATCAAGTACAAAATGCAGAATAGGTATAAATTGCGGACTGAAATTACAAACTTGGTATAAAATGCAGACTGAGTGAAAAAAAACCCGTATAAAACTACACATTACACCCGTTTTCAAAATTATGCGACTTACGTACCAAAATATAATCTGAGACTCAAATGTCAGTTTTATGTCACGAGAGTTGTGGGAACTGCTAAATAGTAAATATAACAAACGTAAGCAAAATTAAGATATACAGGGTGTATAAAAAAAGCGCAATCCTCGACTGAAATGTAAATTGCTAAAGAAATAATACACGAAAACGTTAAAGTTTACATTCATTTTAAAGCGTAGCCATTAAGCTTTCTAACAGTAGGTTGTTTCTTAAATTTGACTAATTGGTTCACGGGTAATAATACTTTACGTTATTGCGATTGGAGATTAAAAAAATTGAGATGGAATAACAAATCGTTCTCATGAAAATAACTGATTTTTTCATTAAAACAAAAAAATGTTGCATTTTAATAAATGGATTGTAACAGTAAGTATAATTACGGCTTTTCTTCCACTATTTTTAACACAGTTTGAAACTTCAAATGCGATATAATTTTGGCTTGGACCATCTAAGCTGACTGACATCAGCTTGCTATAATTTCTGTTTACATTACATCGCAATTCGATGACACTCTGGCTCAGACACCAGGATGTTTTGATTCTATGATTTTTAGCATTCGTTTAGGATTTTCAAACAACCTAGTCTCTTTTAAAATACTTTTAATTTGTTCTTACGTGGTTTTCCAGATGTAGTGACGACAACATTAAAGTTTAAAGAAGAAAATTCTAACATTTAAACCGACTAAACAATAACATAGTAAACTTGCATAATTAAACAGCAACTAAAAATGATAGGTTTTACTAAATCTTTTCCTGTGCAATTATTCCTAGCATTGGAGACAAGGATAATAGTTCGTTTGAAAGAGAAAAGAACAGGCTTTGAAGTAAGCCTAAAAGCGTTTAACTAGAAATAGTATTTCGAAAGTTATTAAGAACAAAAGATGAATTGCGTTTATTTTGATACACCCTGTATAGAAATCAACATGGCGGAAGGTTGATATATATAAATCAACATGGTGGAAGGTTGTTCGCTAGTGAGCTCCATAAGTTTCGACAATAACTGTGTTATTGAATGTACTTCTGCTGATATTCTTAAACATAAAGAATGTTTCAACCTATCTTACGATGGTAAACGATTAAAATGGCTTGGAAGTCCTGATTCCTTAAAGAATTTTATCAAATCTGGTATCAAATTATGCGGTGATTGGACATCACCCGGCAATAGCTCTAAAAAGTTTTCATGTCATGGCCCCGTTATCTCTATTACTTGGTACCCTGGTAAACTAAACTCCCTTATACTACACGGTGAAGCAGGTCCTGCCTTTTCGGATATGTTGATCGAAGCCGCTCATGCTATAGCAAGTCAAAATAACCGCCTTTCGAAATCTACCTACTTATTAGACGAAAGCAAGAGTCCAAACAATATGTCTATGTCTTATTGTACATTTAGCAATATTGTAGAACCGGATTCAGTGGTTGAAGTGGGATTCGAGAGTTCAAAGCGCTTAGACAAGAACGATGCTCTGGTTAGCGGATGTGTGGAAATGACAAATAACCCCCTACACAACAAACCAACGCAAAGATCCTATTGTGATTGTCAGTGTTCGCTGCTAGCTGCCGACCTAGAAGGGATTAAGCTTGAAATTACAATTATGCAAAAGGATATTAAGACTAATGCTAGTAAATCCCGAGCCGATCAGGTGAACCTGCTGAAGATCGAGCTTTCTAGTGAGAGAGAAAAATGTGAGCGCCTTGAAGCTGATTTGTCCCTTATAATTCAAGGACGAACCCGTGAGGTTAGTGAAATGAACGATATCATTGCTTCACTTGAATGTAAACTTAAAACCACCGAGGCGACTAATGACTCTCTGAGACAAGTGATTAATACCATAATATCCAATTCAAAACCAAACGAGTTTCTCCCCAGCAATGTCCCTGCAATGGGAGATACTCAGTGCTTGCCTAGCCTAGAAGAACAAATTAATTATGACCTTATTCATGATCCAGATGCAAAAATAATTAAAGGGCGAACTCGTGAGGTTAATGAAATAAACGTTATCAATTAATGCTTCACTTGAATGTAATCCTGAAGCCACCGAGGCGACGAATGACTCCCTGAGGGAATTAATTAGTATCAAAATTCCCAATCCAAAACCAAATGAGATCTCCCCCAGCAATTCTCCTAAAACGAGCAATTCTCTATTGTCTAGCCACGTAGAACTAACTAATTATGACCCTAAGCATGTTTCGCCTGTAAAAACCTCCCACGGTGACCAACATAAAAAAGTTGATTCGAATGCAAAGAAATCGACAAATATTATTGACCACAATTTACCACTTCTTGATAATAAACGAATTAACCCGACGTCTCCACCTCTCAAAGTAAACCTACAGAGATCGGAACAACAAAATGGACAAATACGAAGCAATTATTTTCGAAAGCGCCCCCGAAAACGTTCTCGTGCCCGACTATCCCAAGAACGAGACCGAGAGAATTACTATTACCAAACCTCTACCAAAACAGGCCAAAACATCAAAGTCTCATGGTTCCGCTATCATATACAAAGAAAGGACCCAGATTGGATCGAACATCTAGATCTGGTACGTCGAATAACTGTCTCACAATAACACGTAGTTCAGTTTATCAATCAGAGCCCCATGTAATAGAAAATCCTACACATGAAATCTCCACAAGAATTACTAGACGTAAGAGACGCCCGTATCAGAATCCAGGTAGAGCAGTCAACTATCATGCTCTGAAAAATTTGAAAAAGATAAAAATCCCCAAAAGGTATGATATTCCCACCATTCTATCTGCGAATGTGAGGTCGCTGCCAAAAAAAGTAGATGAGATTGGACAAATAGCTCTGCTGAATTCTGTTGGTGCTATTTGTATAACCGAAACTTGGTTATCGCCAGAAATTCCTGACTCGTCCATTTCTATTCCTGGTTATAATTTATTCCGCAGTGACCGAATTGAAACGTCTGGTGGTGGTGTGTGTGTGTACGTAGACCAAAATATACCATGCAAACTTTTGGAATTCAGTGATCAAACGGAGCTCGAATCAATATGGATATCAATGAGACCACATATTTTACCAAGAGAAGTTACATCAATCGTAGTAGGCGTGGTCTATCATTCGACGAGTAACGGGAAACCTGAGAACATTATTTTACGTGATCATGTTCAAAAAAATCTTCATGCTGCGTTACTTAAACAGCCAAATGCATTAATTATTCTAACAGGCGATTTTAATCCAACATCGACTGGTTTTAATAAAAAATATATAACCCAAGTGAAAAGCCTTAAACAGTTGGTTACCTTTAAAACAAGAGATTCTGGTATTTTAGACTGGCTGTTTACGAACGGACCTAAACTATTCTCTTTAACCCAGCTACCTAAGATTGCATCATCTGACCATTATTCAATTCTGGCAAAGCCTATACTTGGAGGTGAAACTAAACTAATAAGTAAATCTAAAGTACGCGATATGAGGGATAGTGCGTGGTGTGCGCTAGGTCGATGGATTACTCAAAAAGATTGGTCCTCTGTCCTCGAAGCTAATATGTGTAAAGATAAATTTGATCTTTTTAACTCAGATCTTAACCAGGCTATTGATAGATTCCTTCCACAAAAAGAGGTTAATTAAAAAGGACCCAACAGATCGACCATGGATCACTACTAAGATAAAAAAGGGATTCAAAAACGCCAATCAGCTTTTATCCAGCAAGGGAAAATTTCAACAGCATACGATATTGGAGAAACAAACTCCAACGTTCCATTCGTGCAGCAAAATACCAATATTATAGCGTTAAAGTTACTGATGTACAAAGAGTTAATTCCACAAAATGGTTGAGAGAAATTAAAAAACTCTCTGGGCAAAGTTCAAAACTGGAATGGCACCATCAGTTTCTAGAAAATAGCTCTGAGACTAAGTTACTAGCTAATAGGATTAACAACTTCTTTACTGGCCTTACTGATAATTTTGAGCCCTTAACCCCACGCATTGTATCCCATGAAGTTCCACAGGATTTCTTTGTAACTGAAAACGAGGTCTACAGAGCATTATCATTGCTCCAAATAAATCAGTCGGTCCTGATGGCATCCCGAATAGAGTCCTGAGGGAATTCGCGCATGAGTTGGCACCTACCATCAAAGATATTTATAACCAATCAATGAAAGAGGGATATATTCCTGAGACCTCCGACCTATCTCGTTGACATGTACCATAAGCTGGATCCACGCCAATATGCTCGTAAAAATCATTCAACAACAGATGCTCTACTATATACATTGCAAGCAATCTACGAAGCAGTGGATACTGGTGAGGCCGGAGCACGCTTATTCTTTGCTGATTTTTCTAAAGGGTTCGACCTTATTGATCATACCATCCTTCTACAGGAACTAGAGAACCTACAAGTTCATCCTGCACTTTTGAATTGGATCGCAGCCTTTCTAACCAACCGTATGCAGGCTGTTAAAGTTGATGGAGTTCTATCAGACTTGAAATCAGTTGAGGGTGGGGTTCCTCAAGGAACTAAACTAGGCGTAATTCTCTTTATTGTCATGACAAACAAATTGGTCTGGGAATGGAATCTTCGGACTAAATTTGTCGATGACACATCCGTACTGGAGATTATTCCAAGAAATTCCATTAGCGTCCTAAACGATGCTGCTGCTGATATACATAATTTTGCGATGGAGCATAATATGAAGCTAAATCCTACCAAATACAAAGAAATGCTTATTAACTTCCTACGCAATCCAAACATTCTGATTAAACCTATACAAATGGGAAACTACGTTATAGAACAAGTGAACCCTTACCAGACTGACAGATATGTGACAGATATATGTCACAGTTCTGTAAAATATCTGCAAAATATATGTACGAAAGTATCTGTCACATATCTGCAACATATAGGAATTTGGCCCCATAACATATCTGTCACAGTTATGTGACAGATATCTGTAACAGTTATGTGGCAGATATCTGTCACAGTTATGTGGCAGATATCTGTTACATATCTGCAACATATAGGAATTTGGCCCAATAACATATCTGTCACAGTTATATGACAGATATCTGTCACATATCTGCAACATATAGGTATTTTGCCCAATAACATATCTGCCACAGTTATGTGACAGTATAGTTTCCCAACAGAGAAAATTATCTGCATATTATCTACCAAACAGATACATATAAACATAACTGCCACCAAGTGAGATTTATCTCTTGCATAAAACTATTTCCTCTTCTGCAACATCACGTTGCTGCAACTGTACCTCTGTCATGTTCACTTGAAGCCATAAATAATTTAATACGAAGAAATATTAGATCAGAATAGTAAATGTATTTATCAGTAAATATATAATTATAGCTTACATATATAGATAAA